GTTACTATGATGTTGAATGGAAATATTTGAAATAAACAAGTCATTGATCTTGCAAAATTCTATTGCATAATCACTAGTAAGATTTCTACATCAAGGCCACATTTTCCAACCACCTATCTATCTTGTTTCCAACTTTTCTGTTCCAATTACTCATAATTAGCAGGTAATTTTGATTCAGGATTTTATCAACTTCAGACTCCAAAAGTTTGAAGAACTCTTCAACATCTTCATCATTGACCTTATTGATTGGTGCATACATTTGAATGATAGTTATATTAACTGGCCTTCCTTGTATATGTATGAAAATATACCAACACAAATAGCAATATTACTCAAGAAGATCTTGACATAATCTTCTTCAAGATGAATGGAACAACATTCTTCTTCAATTTGTCATTCTGTGATGGCAAATGATATGATTAGCCAATTCATAATGGCTAATATCAATCCATTTTAGCTCTCTAATGCCTGGGATATCTATCTTTCTGAGATCTATTTCATTTTTGATGACTTCCAATTTTCATACTTCATACATTCTAGCTTCTGGATGTTTGCAGCTGTTTATTTTCATATAAGTCACACATTATCAGCAAATAAAGGCCTGAAAGGTTTGCACCATCAGCATCGTTAAGGTTGACAAACTCAACAAGATGCATTGCCATAATGACTACAAGAAGGTGTCATACATGACAATTGGGAGTGTGATAGAGGACTGGGCGATGTTTTGCTTTTGTAATGCAGAGGGTCACTGAGAGTCTGAACCAATAGAAAGGCACCTCTACAGCAACAACATTAACATTTGAGCATTTTGCCAATTTTACTTTGAGTACCGTCCCTCATGAGGGGCTTATCAATAGGTTCTGCTGCTATTTATAAGGTTTTCAATGGCTAATTATTACCAGGGGTCCTCCTGTTTCTCTAATGTAGCCCGTCTATCTGGAAACCCCACTGAAACCTCCACCATGGATGGCCCTGCTGCTATATGAAATACTTCTGGCATTACAATGCACAAGCCACCACAAACTGACAGGTAAGTAGAAGATGCATTGAATTATGTCTTCCAGTATATATATTGAAGTCCTAAGCCTTGTATTCTAATGTGATTCTTTTAGAAATTGGATTTTTCTTTTGTTTGGGTGCAAATGGCTAAGTACTTTTGCATATAGGTTGAAAGGCTGGCTTTTCAAAAACACCCAGGAGCTCTCCATAAAAAGAAAAAAAAACATGTGGAATCTATTTCTGTGAATATTACTGCCAATAAAACCCTCTGAGACTTTACTAAGTGGCCACTGGGGCGGGAACTCAGTGTGACAGTTCTACTCTGTCACATGGAGTTTCTGTGAGTGGAAATGGAGATGATGGCCCCCACAATGGCAAAATATTCAATTTGCCATTTCTTTTTCATTTTACTTTATAAACACTTTTTGCCTTCATATATGGGTATCTCAGTATATGTATTTCTAGAACTGTATAACACAACTTTCTAAGAACATTTATTTTCTTTTTAAATTCAGTTAGTCTTGAAATGAGACTGAAAATGTGGTTGTAATAAACATATTATACTAGCCTTCTCTTCATACTTATTAAAATTGGAAAACGTTTGGTGCCTATTGAATTATTTTAACAGAAGCAATTGATATGTCGTTTTATCACCTTATCACTTTAGTAATTACCAGCCAAGTGGATTAAATATCACTTAGAGTTTTAACCTCCCATTACACAAAGAAATAAATTTTATTCATAGATATCATTCCTGATATTGTAATATTTCTAATAATTTATAAATTAAAAAAATATAATATATCAATATTACATTAATGCCAAGAAAATATAAGAAGTTAAACAAAAGGATAACTAGATTAATATTTTTATTTGGCCTCTGAAGACTAAGACCCAACAGATATAACATTAACAGTGAGAGTGCTGTATTTATGAATGTGCATCTACATAATATACGATGCTAATTTTTAGAAGATGTGTTACTCTGGGTAGATTAGAGAAACAAATTCATACACACTCATATGTATATAAGAACAAGGCTTATACACAAGAGCAATTGAATATTAAAAAAAAGTCCCAGCCCAGTCCAGATCAAGTACGTAAGTCCAATACTAGCCCATATGTCTGACACCAATCTATAAAGTCCTCTTCAGACTCATGAAATTCATGCAATGATGCCAAATGCAGGAGGATCACAGGCCAGTGGATTGGAAGTCATGTGTATCCAGTGGCATTGTAAGCATCTCAGTGCTGGCAGGGGTCTCTACATCACTTCTCTGGCTCCAAAGGTCTGGTTACACCAGGGTAGGTCCATGTGGCTTCTCCAGCTCCCAGGGTATAGTGCCATGTGTCTTGTCAGTAGAGTGTCTTTCAGGGATTCAGCCTTGTCAGTAGAGAGCCTCCAATGGAGTGAGCCAAGAGAGAGAAGTGTCTCCCGCCTCCAAGGAGAAAAAAACAGATTTCCCAGAATTCTCAGGAGAAAGCCATGCCAACACAGAGGCCTCCTTGGCTATGACTCCACCCCTTCACTCTTAATCCTCTCAAGTCCCAAATTGACACCAGATTATGTCACTAGCACAGATTAAAACAGCAAGCCTTCATTTGTTTTTTGTGGATCAAGAATGCAGGAGTGACTTAACTGGATGGTTATGGCCCAAGTCTCCCATGTAGTTTCAGTTATGCTTTGACCAGGGTTGTAGTTTCATCTAAAGCAGTAGTTCTCAACTTGTGGGTCGTGACCCCTTTGGGGGTTGAATGACCCTGTCACAGGGGCCGCCCAATTCATAACAGTAGCAAAATTACAGTTATGAAGTAGCAACGAAAATAATTTTATGGTTGGGGGGGTCACCACAATATGAGGAACTGTAT